AATGTATAACACCAACTCACATCTTCCCACTCACGAAACAAGTGCTATAAAAAACTCTTAGGTCACAACTGTGTCTTCACAGCTAATTAATCAATTAATCTATTCATTAATCTTTGAAGAGCCAATCTTTGGCTTCAGCTGTATTTTATCTGTAATAAGTATCAACAAACAACTAATTATGCCTGAACATAAGCACCTTCACCTTAGTGTTGGCTCTGAGTTTTTTTTAACTTTAAAACCTTCAGGTTTAGAAAGGTGTTATTTAAGGTTTAGGACTTAAGCTATTTAGTGACCTTAAGCTCTATTATTAGGTATAAAAGAGGCATTAAAACTTCCCAGATGAAATGCAAAGTAGGATTATTACATTGTTGATGGTATAATGCGAAGTGTAAAATCCTTTTCTCCTTAAACCTCTCCCACATGTATTTCAATTGAGGAAGCACTGAGAGCCCGGAGGGAAGGCAAGGCTGTAACAGCACCAATTCCCTACTGCAAAATTTTTCTTTTCCATGTTTAAAGAGTATTGTTTGTTTTTACTCACATATTTTTATAAATAAAAATTTTGTGAATAGAAAATGAAATAAAACACATACTCCCATACCAGGTATACCCACTCTTAACAATTTAATGTGTATCCTTCCAGGCTTTTCTTTCCTAGGCATATATATTTTCAAAATTGGTTTCATATATTATGGACTCTGTTGCACTTCTCAAATTTCTCACCCTTCCATAAGCCTCATCTATCATCATCTTAGGTAATGTTTCAAATGCATGGTCTCATAGGGGGATACCTTCAGCTCCTGCTGAGAATCTGGTCCAATAGGCACCAAATACTTTCAAACACAACCTAACCCAGAAAAACAATTATTAAATATTTAGATTTTAAAATGTATGCTTTAGGGGAGCCTGGGTGGCTCAGTCGGTTGAGCATCCGACTTCGGCTCAGGTCATGATCTCACGGGTTCGTGAGTTCGAGCCCTGCGTCGGGCTCTGTGCTGACAGCTCAGAGCCTGGAGCCTGCTTCAGATTCTGTGTCTCGCTGTCTCTCTGCCCCTCCCCTGCTCATCCTCTGTCTCTGTCTCAAAAATAAATAAAACATACATACATACATAAATAAATAAATAAATAGGTAGGTAGATAGATATGTATGCTTTAAGTTTCTTCAAAATCTAAATAAGATAGAGCTTTATACTAAAAAGCTTTACTTCGATATCTCTAAACATTTAGTCATAGGCTAGGGATTATAACTTCAAAATATAAACTACTTAAAACAACATGTATTTGGAAATCTATATTTTTAGAACGGTTTAAAAAATAGGTCACCAGGAGCTTCGAACATGTTGCCGTGAGACCACTGTAAGACACTTGAGAAAAGTAAAAACAGCTCAATGGGCAAGGGAACCTATACTTGATCTACTTTGAAGGTCAACCGAGCATTTTTTTTTTAAGTTTTGATTTTGTTAAAACCTGGAATTCCAGGGAAAGGCAAGCCATGGGGGTGGGTGTACGATCTGCCTCCATGTTTCCTATGAAGATTTCATCAGTATCCTTTTGATTCTTATTTTCTTCAACACACAGTGGTCATTTCTACTCGAATCATGGTGACAGTATCCCTAGCACATGGTCAGACCCATAACTGTCAGTGGCTTCAGAGTGTGATTTGTTTGTTGCCTTTTAAATGTTTCCAGGCAACAGTTACTGTCCTGAAAGCCAGTGAGCAAGTGACTGACCTTGATACTGAAGGGCACTTCTATTCCATTTATTTATGGAAACATGCAGAAAACAGATTCAACATTTGTATTGTAAGAGACATCCCTTTCCAAAAGAACACCACAGCGTTCTTAACTAGAGAGATAGATCATCCCCTAGTAAATTATATATAATTAGGGGCGCCTGGGTGGCGCAGTCGGTTAAGCGTCCGACTTCAGCCAGGTCACGATCTCCCGGTCCGTGAGTTCGAGCCCCGCATCAGGCTCTGGGCTGATGGCTCGGAGCCTGGAGCCTGTTTCCGATTCTGTGTCTCCCTCTCTCTCTGCCCCTCCCCCGTTCATGCTCTGTCTCTGTCTGTCCCATAAATAAATAAAAACGTTGAAAAAAAATTTTTTTAATTATATATAATTAATGTCCCTTACATTTGTATATAATAAACTCATGAAAATGTATTTGAGAGTCAAGGATCTGAACGTCAAACAGTAGGCATACAGAGGGATCTACTTGTAGAGAGCTCACATTATAAAATTTATGCTTGTGATTAAAGACATTTTGTTTCTGGCACGGCTATGCAATGTGTAGATTATCTAATACATTAAAAACAATAAACATTATATATAAATAATAAATTAGAGATCTTGAAATGGATTCTTACCTCAGCTGCCAGTTATCTCAGCCTAGAGAGAAAATTTATTCAAAGCTTGAGTAAGGACTAGCTGGTAGGAATTCTACCAAAATAATTTTCAAGAGAGAGTGGAATGCCTGCCATCATCTTCTCCAAAAAGATGACAGCAGCCTTGTGCACTTCTCCCTGCATTTGGGCCACTGCTCATTCTCAATCATACTTTCTCCATTGATATACCATCTGTAGTCTCTAGATGGTTTTTTGTCCACAACTAAACTCACGGTCAACAATTTAAGGTCCATGGAACGTCAACCAAACGTCAAGATTACCCACCTTCAGCCTACCTTACTGCATCATCACTGGTATTGGCACTTTCATTTTGCCATCTTTCATTCGTTTTTATAAGAAAGCAAAAGCAAAATATTATTGATATTCAAAGAATTGGATAAACACCCACAAATAATGATTGCCAAATACAGAATGTTAGGGGGCAGACAGAGCCACCAGAAATTGGCTTAACATTTGTTTGCCAGCTGGAATATAAATGTTCAGCAGAGTTCTGGAGATGCAATGTGTGATAGTGGGGAGACCACGTAAAAGTTATGTCAAAGTCAAGGATTGCCTAAATCCCTTTGAGGAATAGTCACTGCTGATATCTTAAATGAAAGATAAAACATTAAGATTAGTTTATAAGGAAATCCTTATAATTCAGTAAATTAACTTTCACCAAACTTTGCGCATTTCTCTAAAAGTATAGACTTGGACGCTGCCCAAGTAGTAAGAACAATTGGAGTAAGTGAAGAAGGAAGGGGAGTAAAATACAAGGCTATGAAACAGACCAAAACTTTGAAATTCAGTCAGGGCTCCCAGCAAAAGTGCTCACAGGCAGAGAGGATGGCCAGGGAGAGCTCCCTGGTGTTTCAGAATTGGGTGTGGCAGAGGCCAAGCGGGGGCTTGAGTTCACTCCCACCATGTTGCGCATGGCTTCCAGTACTTACAAGAACACACACATATGTCTGTGTGTACTGGGTGACCTTGGCCTTCGTACCAGGAGAACTGTATCCTAGCGCATGGACAAGAATAGTGTCAGTGAGACCTCACTTTCAGAAAGGAAAATATAATCTTAGAAATAAAAGTCTCCCTTTGAAAAGGGAATCGGCTTTAATGAAAAGGAAACTGAGAAGTAAATCATTTGGAGTTGAAAAGCACTTTGTTTAGGCACGTACATAGTGCAAATACCTTTGCTGATAGGAGTACAGAAAGATACAGATTATTTATAACCCAGCCACTCAAAGATCTGATTTGCTAAGAAGTTTGAGGCAAGTCTGAAGCAAAAGTATACTTTGTTTTGCTAGGTTCTGAGTTGTGGTGCCAGACAGTACCTCCACTAGACCTGGGTAAGCACGGAGGAGGAAGGGGGAGGAGGAGATGGGCAAGAATTCAGGAGGACAAGTCTCCCACCCATGGCTGTTAACCAGGTGGGGGTACGTGACCTCACCTGCGAACCATGTTGTATGGGTCTGGTTTTTGTTTCTCTCCAAGTGCTCTCCAGTCCTCTAAACTGCCTCCTGTTTGGGGATGATGAGGTGCCTGGAGTAGCTCCAGGACTTGGGCATGTAGGGTTATCTGTGGAGTCCCATTACCTGAGTCTGTCCCAAGTAAGCAGTCCGGTGATCTGGTCAATCCTGTCAAATAGAAAGAACTTCTTTTGTGATTAGACCACCACACTGGTACTGACACACTGATTTGGGGTGATTTTCATTCAAGTAAGAGGACAAGTTCAGGGCTTCAGTCTACCAACTACCCACCGCTGATCCATGGACTTGAGCTACCCAGGTGAGCCTACCATTCAAATCTTACCTATATATGTTCAGGCCATGATGCTGCATCAATTCTATAGTATCTGAAGGCAGCAGGGGTGGAAGCAGGCATCCTTTACCCTGTGCTGTCTCTGTTGCTGGCACCCTGGATCTCCCCACATCCTCATGGGCCACCCTCCATATCTGACTGCACAGCTCTGTGACTGGCCCCACCTCTCTCCCCAAGGGCTTTTGAAACCATCGCTCAGCAATGCCAACAGTCCCCTCTAACTGAAGTCCTCTTTTGCCTCTAATTGATATCATGACCTTGAGATCTCCCAGATCAGTCATTACCCCTGGGAAGAAAGGATCAGAGTTCCCACACACTGACCAGTGGACACTACTCTAGTTGCTCTGCCCATGAGCCACTGGCCTGCCCCTCTCACCAATTGCCATGTGTAAGTCGGAGTGTAGCGAACATCGAAAGAGATCATATTCTAGGAATGCAGTAATCATGGCCCACAGAGTTCAAGAGAATTTGTACAAGATGTGTTTTTCTGTGGTTGCATTACCAAATTCCAAAAAACAAATTCAGCATGACCAAAGAGCAAATTATTATTCATTTTTCTGCACTGTACAGTTAAAGCTTGCATTGTGGCCACCATCAGTGAAACACAGTGAGAGTCACTGGAAGCCAGCATTCATGAATGGCGCGATAAATGCGGACACACCATGAGTTATGACATAACCAGCATTAAATAGGTGGTATTAAGGAACTGCGGAGCTAAGAGGATTTGCATTGTTTCAAGTACCTGAAGGGCCATGGTATTATGAGTGATTACTGCGTTACCACTATATCCTTGCAGTGGGAGATATGAAATTGGTCCAAGAAGAGCACATTGACAAGGAGATGGAAGATATGGTTTGTGGACATGAATAGGAAGAGACACTATGAAGAATCATCACAAACTCTGATTGGAAATCTTAAAAATACTTAAGTACCACTTCCCTGCCAATTATTCTAAATTTCATAAATCTATACCTACAATTACACCTATACTGTAATCCAGTACCTCCCATGGACTCATGAATTTCGGGAAACCTTTTTTAATCAAGTTGCTTACATAGGTAGGGGCCCAACAAAATGTATTTGCCTGGGGCCCCCCACATCCTAGGGGCAGCAGCCCTGGTGCCAAAAAGCACCGGTAGAAGTTGACTTGCTCCAGTCACCACTCTTTCACCAAAGGCGACACCATCTTGGTGCCACAGGTGAGGTCTCACTGAGCCCTCTGTACTTTCTGGGAGTTTCACCCCAACCTCTTCCATGACTTCTCAGCCTCATCACCACAACCTGCCTTGGAGACCACCAGGAGCGACCCTGTCATGTCCTATGTCCCTGGTTACCTCAGTCACCAGAAGCAGCCCAAGAATCTGGACCATCACTGCTATCCCAGCTGTCATCATCATATGGCCTGTACATTCCTAGTCTGACCCAATGTAACACCCAAGCCCACCCCCCAGACCTTTGCCTTCTGGTGTAGGTCTGTCATTAGCAAAATCCTCCATATCCTCCCCTTCTTGCCCTGATCTAAGAGGCATCTCTGTTGCAGCCCTCATCCCATCCTCCTCAAATCTATAGGTTCCACATTCAAAATCTAACAAGTATCCCCCACCTCTCACGACGTTCTGCTACCACTTGTATCTGAACTATCGTCAGAGAGGGTTTCCTGACCTTCCTAGAAATAGCACCTCTCTTTCTCTCTGTACCCACCCCAACCTTCCTTTATTTTGCTTCATAACATCAGTCCCACGCAACATGTTATCGGTTGTTTGGTGTATAACGTGTCCCCCAACTGGGATACAGGCTCCCTGAGAGCAGCTACTGCTTATGTTTTGGCTATTGCTGTGTCCCCAGTACCTAGAACACTGCCTGCTGCACAATACACACTCAAAAAATACTTGAATACCTGACATTCAATATAAACAGGAAATTCTTACAAAGTTTTATTACATAGCCTATTTTTATCTACCTAAAACATAATCGTATTTGGATGGAAAGATTTTGGAAAACCAATTATCATGAAAAAAAAAAGTCTAGTGAAGGAGACAGTGAAATCTCATAAGTTGTATCTGTTGTTAATCAATTCAAAAATAAAGGAATTAAAGGAATTTTCAATGAAATTATAGAGGTTTATCATTAATTTTTAATTTAATAACTAACTTTATATATAATAAAGAGTTGGGGATGTCTTTTCTGTGCTCATTCCTTTGTTTATACAATATTTAAAAAATCCTGCAACTTCATGTATTTGTACAGTACTTCCTAATTGCATCTCCTTGCCATTGTTGCTTACAGTAAGCTTGAGTCAATTAAAACTGCTTTTCTTTTACAAATGTTAAGTCTAAACATAACCAGAGCCTCAGTCCTTGATAAGACTCAGCTCTGCAGTTATCTGCCAACTGTGTGACATTCAACTTGCCACCTGTCTCCCCCAAAGGACCGTTCTCTCTCATTTCCATCCCCTGAGCAAGTGCTACTTCCTCTACATGGAGTTCGTTTTCCACTTCTTTCCCTTCATGCTTCCTCTTCTCTTCAAGGCCCATCCTGACAGCCCACACCACTCTGTGTCTTAAAGAGATCATGGACTTATCCCAGGACTCATCACAATGTTTTTTCTGCTTCTCTCCCTCCACCATGAGACTGCACTGTGAGGCAGAGAGCAGATCTGACTTATTCACACCTTGCCTGGTGCCTAACACATAATATGTGAACAACAAAAGTTTGTGAAAGGAAACAGAGTGTGAAAGGAAACAGAAAGGAAGACTGAGGGTAAGACAAAGACGGAGGCCAACTTGTAAATGACATGATCTTGCTCACGGCATCACCCCACAGCATCAGTGGGAGGATAGAATAGCCAAAAACCACATTTGATCTGCTGAAGGTTGCCTGTCCATTTACGAATATCGTTGTTGTTTTTTTTTAAGTCATATGATTCAACTCTTGTTTGTTTAATCTGAGCTGTGGGAGGTACAAGGTTGCAGAATGAGCAGGTTAAAGAGATTTGCCTGTCTTTCCTGAACGTTCTTTGGAAAATCAGAATTTCTAAGTCAGTGTAAGCTCTTCCAGTTTGCCCTGGCTCCAGCTCTGGCACACCTAAATGCCCTCCCCTTTGCCCTGTTGGCCACAATGGTGGTTGGGCTGCCTGTGAAGAGAGCTGTGATCTGGTGGATGAGGTCACCCTGAGCTGCTCTTCATGGGAGAGCCCAGGCTGTGCTGCCTGATTTTTCTAACACTTACCTTTCCCCTTTCACATGATCTCAAGCATTTGGATGAGTGCAGCTTTGTTTGTTTCAATGAAGACACTCTTAAGAACTATTATTAAACAATTCTTTTGCTAAAACACTACCTTTTGCACTAGAAATGAGCTTAATAGGAAATTTTTCCTGTCACTTTAAGTTGTTCCCGTTGCTTTTTTCATTGAGATCATTGAATACGCCTCCTAAAATAAGATGTTGAAATAGAACCAGTAAGGGTGTGATCTAATCATGATTTGAAGGAAATTGCTTTTCAATCGTTAAATATGTAAGACTCGAGAGGATTTCAGCTCAAGTTTTTGATGGCTGGTCTCTGTCTGATGTCCAGTTTATAAGAGAAGTGGTATTCTCTAAGAATTTCAGGGGCTTTTGGGGAACACATGATGTCAAAACAATTAGGAGATCTCAGTAACTGGTCAGCTCAACCTCTATAATTAGGAGAAACATCCATGAAGCTGTATGCCTGGGCTCACCTGTTTAAGATCAGAGCACTTACAGTGTAAAGGTATGTAGGCTTTTCACTGTAGGCAAGAGGAAGTGTAGCCTTGAACCTGGAAAAGGCCCCACACCCAAGCACAGTGGTAACCACTCAGATTCAGGACTCTCAGTGGGAATGGAGAAGGTTGGGTTGGGGCAGATATCAAAGCCCACTGTGTACCAGTCTTTCAGGCCGCACACAGCATCACTTTGGCTGCTAGTAGACGCTTCTCTGACTGAACTTCTTGAGGCACAGATGATTCTGAGAACAAGGCTTACCTCTTAGATGTCCAGTGAATAGCAGTTAATTTGCCTTTCTCCCTATAAGCGTTAGGGCATTGACTAGAAGTATTGGGGGATCTTGTGTCCTAGAATCATGTAAATATTCTGGAAAAGCACAGGAACAAGGATTACTTAGAATGATAATAGCAGGCACTTATATATCATACCTAGAAACTATTTTAAGTGTTGTTTTTTATTGTAACGATAGCTGTATGAGGTAGGTATTTTGCAGTTGAGAAAAGCAAGATTAAGGAGGTTAAGTAAACCGCCTAAGGGCACTTGGCTTTTGCATGACTGGGCCAGGATTTGAAGCCAGGCAATCATTTCCCAAGTCAGACTTTTAATCATGAGGCTGTAGTCTGTTTTTGTAGCTTCTGCCCTACCAGACCTGCTTACATTTACCCAAAAACCCTACTGTAGCAATCTAATGCCAACCAATCCATCGAGGTGTATAATGGAAAGATGGGAAACATCGTTTTTTATCAGAGTGGACTCCAGGCTCTATGCACCAGGGCCCAAATATTTGCCAGAGCAGCTCACCCCACCACACACACACACCTTGAATACTCTTCCAGGCTCCCCCTATTACTAGGTTCAGGAAACAAATACTTGTCTTCAACAGATTCTCTGGGCTTCTCTGGAAAAAATGCATACATCCCACAAGATGTAGAGAGAAGAATGAAGTGACAAAGTAGGCTGAGGATTAATGCTAGGTCAGAGCATATGGTTTGGTTCCTGGATGGCATGAAGCAAATAACCATCCCAGGGTCTCCAGAGGATATTTGTACAGCTCCATATTGGTTTGAGGAGGCAGGAGGACTTCTCTCTCCTCCTTCTCACTCAGGAAGAGACCGCAGAAACTTAAAGGAAACCACAGGCAGAGTAAGACCTTCAGATCAGTTGAGTGGAAGACTCAAGGAAGGATGTCAGGAAAGTCCCGGGCCTGGGCCAGTGTCAGGAAAGTAGAGTAACTAGCAGACAGGTCCTGGATAGCCTGGGAGAGAGTAAAGTCACCAGCCTCTGGGGAAGGGGAATTCAGAAGGAGAATTGAAAGGGCTGAGTGAGGATAATCCCCACTTGTTTCAGGCTTTTACCTGGGACCCTGCTTTAAGGATAGCAGTAAGCTGTTTACAGGCAAAGAGAACATTGAAATACTATGTGGTAATTACATACCTATTTTTTTTAAGGATGCTACTGATTTGTCAGTCCCCAGAAATCTCCAAAATGGTCTCCAAATTCCAATTTCATCATCTAATGAAATCTCTCAAACTCCTTCACACATCTGGAAGCAGCATAAAACTCTTTGCATAAAATATGGCCTGATGGTTGGCTTAGAAAGTATATTCTCATAACTATTTGTAGATTCCATTAACTCATGTATCCGGTACACATGTTAAGTGCCTACATGTGCCAGGATAATGCTGTCACTGAAGACACAAAGAGAACAGAGCCCAGAAATCACAGCTGAATAGTTACAGATAGTCTGTAGCATTTAACTGGGGTTCTAAGACACAAATGACTTTTTTTTCCAAAATTGTAACAGGTATCTGAAGGGGCAAAGTCCACCCTTCCCACTGCTGTAATTGTTGAGATGTATCATCCTGGCAAAGCCCTTTGAGCATCTTTTTCTCTAAACCAACAATTCTGGATTTGGGTCACCAGACCCAGGAGCACAGCTCCACAGAGGTACTTTCTACTTGAACCTAGGTTCTGTGATCAGAGTGGCCCCAAACAGAGACCTTGGAAACCTCTAAAAAGAAAGTAAGACTAGAGAGGAGAGAGATCCAACTGCTGCCAGATGGTGGCAGATTTGCTTAGGGAGGGAACACAGAGGGGGACACCAGAAGCATCCTTTGACATGGGGAATTGGAATCTAGAGAAATATCAATGACTGCACCTCATTTGTGGCAAAGTTAGGACAAGACGCCTGTCTCTGATCTCTCACTGCTACATTTTGTTGCCTCCAATACAAAAACTTGTCCCCACACACTCAGTCTTATTATTATTGCTGTCCCATGTTGAGCTCTGTGTGCTGATCACTGCCCTTGGAATCCTCCTTTTTCCCCCAAGGATGGGGCCCTGCAAGCCTTTGCCTTTGATATCCTGGGCCAAGGAGAACCTTTACTAAATAGAACTCTCTTGTTTTCTGACTCATTGTCCCCACCAGCATAAATAGTAGGTAGGTCCTGGTCTCCCTCTTTGAAGACCCTTTTCCTCCAGTATATTTAGGGAGCAAGATATCTCAGGGTAGCTGCCTCACTAATCTGAAACCTTAGTTGTGCCTCCAACATTCAATCCCTTCCTGTCTCTAGCTTCTGTTCCTCCACAGACCCCATTCACTTTGCTGCCTGTCACTTTCACTCACACCTGTCAGGTGAAATATGTTGTGATCATTCAGCCCTTTAATTCCCAATATCACAGCTAACCCCAAGCTTTAATGAGTAACAAGACATTAATACACATTTGGAAAAAAATAGGCAGGAATTACAACTCTGAGAGAGTTAAAACTGGTACTAGAAATGATGAATCATATAGTTCACCAGTCAAATCTTTTCCCCTATAAGCTCTGCTGGCCACCACCCATCCCAGCCTACTTTGCCACTCCTAGACTCTGTGCATTTCCTTCCATCACAGAGAGAGAGAGAGAGAGAGAGAGAGAGAGAGAGAGAGAGAGAGAGA